ATGCTACACGTCAAGCCTTTTTTTCTTTGTCAGCCAGCTCACCGGGACATCACTGGCTTGGAGAAGCAGGCAGGGAACTGGTAGCTTGAACACTGGCATTTATTTCATGAGTACTAGTACACATTGCTACTTAAAAAAATACTTCCTGTTTAATTCTCTCCTACACATGGTCCTCATTTCTCCAAATAGCAGAGATGCCCAATAAAAAAGAGCAAGAAAGGAGACTGAGATCTCTCAAGAGAAATGTAAAATACAGCCAAAACCATATACTTAGTTGTATTTATTCTGGCTCATGAACTTCTATTTTGCAAAAGTTGCTTCCTAGCTAACTTCCATTTTTAAAATAGATGTTTTAGGTAGAAATGTCTCAAATTCAAGTTATTATATTTTGACAATTCTTGACAAAAATTGGCATCTCTTTAAATATATAGATATGGGTATTTTTAGAAAAACATTTATTGGCACATTTTAGGTATACATAATGATAACACTTATCAGAGGAGGGATGTATCATGTACAGGTGAAAATTCCCTTAGATATGGATATTTTAAATTTTCCTCCCTGTAAAAATCTTGTTTCCTCACAAGAACTACAAAACAAAAAGAGAGGAAGGAGAGGCTCTATTTTAGTAAGATAAATATGTCCATAATTACACACTTAGAAGCGTGTCCCTGAAAAAAGATATGAACCAAGGATTTTATATTCAAAAAAGTCATTATTGTAAAGGGCCAAAACTGTTATCAAAATGTAAGAATCCAAGAAATATTGTTCCTCTGACCCCTTAATGAGAAATTACTAAAAACTAAGCTTCATATAAACAAAAGATGACATAAGGACTGAGGTGAGGATTAAATGTATATTTCTGGAACTTAGACTAAATGAAAGATAAAGAGCATAATATGTGATGTCTACATTCTGTAAGTAAATGAATAATTACATTTCAAATATAAAAGAATAGGGCTGGGGATTTAGCTCAGTGGTTCCCCCACTTGCCTTGCAAGCGCAAGGGCCCAAGTTCTATCCCTGGTACCAAAAAATAATAACAATACTAATAAAATATAAAAGAATGAAGACACAATATGCCTCAGCCACTGCCTGTATTTACAAAACCAAGATTCTTGATTCAGAATTCTTGAGCAAGAAGATACTAATATAATGTAGATAATGTAGAAGTTCAGTGAAAACCCTGTAGTCCTGAATTTGAATATTTGAACTGGAAATAACAGTATTAATTAATGATCTATTTTATAATTTTATTAGTGATTATAATATTAATGGTTATTAATATTTTGTTGATTGTTATTTATTAATAATTATATTTTATTAATGATCTATTTATATATATCTTCTAGTTCTACCCACTGAAAAGACCTAGAATCAGTGACCAACTCAGTATCCCTCTCATAATTACATTCTTGAAGTTATAATTTCCACTGAAAGAAACCAGTGTTTTTTGAAGAAATGCTTGATTCTAAGTCTAGAGTAGGAAATGAACTTGGGACATCTTTGGAGGGGAAAAGTATAATAAAGGAATGTTAGTTTTTCTGGATTGCTTTGTGTTGTTTGTGATTTTTTTAAACGGTTTTTGAAATTTGTAGTTTATCTTTTTCATTCTAAATATTCACTTTATAACCTAATTTTGTGTTCTTTTTCTTTTCTTTTCTTTTCTTTTTCTGGTACCGGGTATCAAACTCAGGACCTTGCACTTCTGAGGCAGGTGCCGGAACCACTGAGCTAAATCCCCAGCCCTGTGTTCTTTTTCTTATAGAGGCTCTTCCCTACCCAACAGATTACATAAGTTTCAGGCCCCACAAAACCTGGATTCCTATCCTCCTGTATAACCACACGTGCATAATGAATGCCCCGGAAGAAAACAATGGAACATACGTAGTAGAGGAAAAAATGTTTAAAGAGACAATAGAAGAAAAATTCCCTGAAATAAAATTTGGATTTTCATAGTGTGTCCCTAGGAAAAACTGATAAGTTCCAGTCATTATGACAATGTATTCAGTAAAGTTACTGATCTTTCAAGGACAAGGACTCCACACAGAATTTTTTATAGTAACAGTCAATGAGTAAGAACAGATGAATAACTGTGACAAAGTAAAAGTGTCATCCCAAGAATTTTATATTCAGCTGATTTTTTCATTAACTATAGAAGTAACCTGAATTTCTGAAGAATATAAGTACTTGGAGATAAAGTAATCCTAACTTTGCTTGAAAAACTAATGAAATCCAGCTGACTTTTATTGAAAATGAATGTTCAGGCATAGTAAAGTTGCAGTGAAAAGATTTTTGGTGTACTAAATTGAGTTAAATTCAATGCTAAATTGAATTTAATTGCGAGTATTGATTACAGAGTATAATATTTTAAAACTTTACACTGTGAAATTGGTAATTAAGAAATCAGGAAATTATTCAACAAATCTAAACTGAGCACTGATTCTGTGCCACGGACTCTGCTAGATCCTAAGAATACTTTAATAAGCAACATAGAGATTCACTTTGGGCCTTCAGGAGGCCTTCAATGCATAATTAATAAGCCATAACACTGTAGTACTGGAGTGGGTGTTTCTGTCTAGTTCCCAGTTCTCCTCTTCTTATACTTAATGCTAGAGCTCTTCTTTCCAATGGAGATTATGTTCCCTTTGGTTCAGGTGAAAGGGATGCTAATGCAGACTATCTCATCCCCCTGGCTGGTGATTATTTCATAATCAAAGGTAGGCCATTCCCTGACATAACTATCATAAAAACTGACTTGCGCTGGAGTTAAGAGGAGGAACATCTGGATCTCAGTGATCATCTTGGCCATCATGTAAAAAGGATGGAAGAGACAGAAAAAGAGAACTCCGTAGTTATGGAATGGATAATAAATTCTCTGCTTTTTAACTTCAGCTTGTTAGTACTGGATTTCATTATTTGCAAATAAAAGAAGTCCATTAAAATTCTAGTATGATAAGTGTTACAGGGAGAACAGGATAATATAGGAGCACGTAGCAGAAGCATGTATATAAATTCCCTTTGCTTAAATTTCAACATATATTTGCCATATCTTTCAGTATTCTTTGTATTTTAAAACATATTCAAACTGCTATTTGTTATTTCAGAGTAACAATTTAAGAAATAAATAGCAGATGGAAGGGGAAGAATGCTAAATCAGAATGCTAATTTTCTCATGGCAGGGAGTTAAAGGTGAAACATATTTTAAAAATATGACTCTGAATCAATAAGGAAAGGGAGACCAGCCAGTAACTTTGTGCATCTACAGTAGGATTGTCTTACTTTTTGTGTTGCTGAGACAAAATATCCGCCACCCAAAAGTAAAAGAGGAAAGGTTTATTTGGCTCACGATCTGTAGAAGTTTCAGTCCATAGTCTTCTGGCTCCAAGGCAGAAGGGCATGACAGAGGACAAACAGTTCATGGCGGGTTCATGGCGCGGCAGGTAGAAGGCAGATAGCCTGCATTCCATCCTTGCCTTTATATTCCATCCAGGCTACAAGCCCATTGGTTGGTACCACTCACACCCAGGGTGGGCCTTCCCATTATCCACACCTAGAACTATGCTAAAGCAATTTAGTTATCACACACGTTTAATCCGTATTCACACACTCTAGATCCAGCCACCTCTGAAAAGCCTCACCTCTGAGCTCATGAGGCTTTGGGGACATCTAGGTACAAGACATAATAAGGATGAATTAATAATTCACATAAAGAAGTAATATACAGTGGTTATTATGAATAACAGCTATGCAATGATGTAATGAATCTCACAAACATAATGAAAGAAGCCAAAGCTAACCTGTGCATTTTAGAAGTCAGGATATGGTTTCTCTTGAGCAGTGGGAAACAACTGGAAGAACGTAAGAATAGGGGCTCGTGGTATGATGGGTATGCTGTTTCTTGATCTAAGTTCTGGTTATGTAGGGAATTCAGTTTGTGAACATTTGTAAAGCTAAATATATATATATATATATATATATATATGAGTTTTTTTTATATATAGACAGTATTTCAACAGTAAAACACATGACTACAGGTTGATGTTTTCCAAAATCTTTTTTCTTAACTTCAAAAGAATCTTTTAGAACATCTTACAGTGAAAAATCAGTATTTTCAATTTCAGCAACACAGTACTTGAAAGTCAGCAATCTCGTGTGTGTAGGGGGGGTGGGGTTGTACGGTGGAGCGAACCAGGTTTAGTACTTCACACTGAGCTACATCCCAGGCTGGGCTTGAACTTGTGATCTTCATACCTTAGCTTCCCAGAGTGCTGGGATTACGGGCATTTGCCACTGTGCCTGGAAAAAGTCAGCAACATCTTAAATGTTATCTCAATTTCCTGTAGTTAATTTCAAGTATATTTTAATATTTTTATTCAGAATGCAACATATAAAACAGTATCATTTTTATAAAACTTTTTTCTCCTTTAAAAAAAATTCCTGCTCTATCCCATTGTGTACACACTCTTCATCAGATTAGTTAGCATTGCATCCGGATGAGATTTGGTGTGCATTTTAAAATTTCTCTTCTGAACTTTGCTATATAGTTTGAACTTTTGTGAGAAGAATGTGTGTCAGTTCTATAAAATGTGTATGTATCCTTTCTATAAAAATATGAAAATAAGGAAGGAAAGCTGATCTTAGATCTTATACCTACATACTCCCATCGTCATCAGAAAGGAAGAATCATGGGAGATTTCTGCACACAATCTGATTACAGTTGCCCAGGCCCATTCAGCCAGCTTGAGTCATCTCTTACCTGTGTGGGGAGCCTTCATTTTGGCAGTTAGTAAGCAGGTTTCTGTTCACCCTAAGCAGAAACATGTAGGATAATCTCATGAGTGAGAGACTGCTCAGGAACTTTCAAAGTTTGCTTTTTAATTCCACAGTGTGGTAAAGAATACCATTCAGATAACAATGACATTAAATTTTGTTTCAGTAAAAAGCAGATGAAAGCACCTGAATGTCCCCTTATCATACCCTTTCTTACCATTTTTTAGAGTCTGATATTTCTTGTGCGAGACTGGAGTTTCCCATACGAATTTTCATATGGGGCTGATGGTGGTGCCAAATTCTTGGAAAAACGCCTCAAGGTTAGTTGGATATTTATAAATGCATGACTTTTTTTTTTTTTTTTTGGTACCGGGGATTGAACTCAAGTCCTTGCACTTGCGAGGCAAGTGGCGGAACCACTGAGCTAAATCCCCGGCCTGATATGTGACATTTTTACCTGTAGTAATCTAGAATTAATTTTTGGAAGATTTGATGCATAGATATTCAGTTGCCACAATTTCATTTGATCCATAATAAGATCTCTGTGAACAAAGATTAATAAACTACTTTCAGAGTTATAATTTAAATGTTATTAATAATTTTGATATAGAATTTTTATAGAGATCTATAAAATAATTATTCCTAAAGACAAAACCTTTACTATGAAGAATTAGTTTAAAACTGATAGTACAAATATCTACATGCATTTTTAGTAGAGGTATAAAGAAATGTCTAATTTTGAATTCTCCAAAGTCAATCTTAGAACATTTGTTAATAGTTCACAGAATGGAAATTAGAAGGCCTCTACTTCCTAAGTCTGATAGTCAGATATTATATGAATTGTTTTTACACTGAGCAGATATCACAAAAAAATACCTTGTGAGGAATCAGGAGAAAAGCTGAAGTTTAAAAAAAAGCTCTTTGAATATCAGGATCTACAAGCCTACATTTTTAGGTTTATAGTTACTTCTAAAATAGTTTGTCTACCCTACAGACTGTCAAATACATGTCTTAAAAAGGAATGGAGAGTGATTGGATTTCTAAGTAAACAACCAGCTATTCAGATACCTCTCTAGAATTTAAGTGTGTACCTACCAGGCAATAGGAAGCTGTCTTGACTATCTGAAAAAAAGTAGGAACATCTTATGATCTATTTGTGTCTTCTGTGAGTACTTTGAAATAAAATTTGAATTTGTAGGAAGTGGAGTAAAGCCCCATTAATTTGTACAAAGTATGGGAAGGCCCATTTGAGTATGTAAGGGCAGATGCTTGCTACCTGTAATGACTGTGTCATGTGTTTACTGTGCTTAGATACCTCTGTTTGAACACGTTCACCAGACTTTTCTTTCTTTAGTAGCAGCCCCATCGTGCCATTTTGTCATTGTGGGGCTAAACACACCAAACCTAAGATGCCACAGAATTCCTTTGCCTTTGTTCAATTTATGTCGCAAGTTAAGACTAAACTTCAGGACGATTTACTGCAGGTCTCAGGAAACCAGCATGAAGAACTACAGAATGTTCGAAAGCACATCCACTCCTGTTTCACCAACATTTCCTGTTTTCTGCTACCTCATCCTGGCCTAAAAGTAGCTACCAACCCAAACTTTGATGGAAAACTGAAAGGTTTGCCTTTTAATGAATTATGTTTGCATTATTTAGCCTGATGATAAAAATGTCAATTTATTCCCTGGGCATATTGCTGCTAGTTTAGTGTATCCTCAGAGGTGAGGCTGATGATATAGAAATTTCCAGGAGAGTGGGGAATCCTGGGATGGCCCAGTTTCTCCTCAGTGTACTGTAGGATTCTGTAGTGTGGAATATGTGTACAGCCTGTGAAAACAGACCACCTCCAGCCTTCACCTGCAGGCAACAATCCTTACCTCTGACCTCTGTGCACCGAGAAATGCTGCTTAGTTTCTTCGTAGTTAATTTTCCTTACTTACATTAAAAAGGACAACCAAATGTCTACATTATTGGAATGTTGTACTTATTAAATTACATAATTAAGAGGCTGAAAGAAACATTGCATAGTATTGAATTCAGGCTCTTTAATTTCACCAAAAATGAAATCCTTTCTGAATGATAACCAGTTTCCCAAAAAACAAAAATGCGGTGTTTTTCATACTGTGTATACTGAGAATATGCAATTATCTCTTTAACAGAGGTTGACTGTTCATATTCCAAAGCAGCTCAACCTATTTTTAAAAAGGGTGGAAGTAGAGGTAAGAGTCTGCAGAAACAGAAGCTAACTTTCCTAGGAGACACTCATCAGAACTCAAGATACTTTGTAGTGACTACAAGGTATCACAGAGACATTTCTGATTTTTTAACTTGTAAGCTAGCACTGCATATACCACTGAGTCCAGGCATTTATTGAATTACTATGGACTTTCTTCATTGTGATAGGAGTTAGTAACGAGTTTTCCAAGAAAATTTTAGTCAAAGGAATTTAAAATTGCTTTTAAAAAAGAACAACCTAACTTGTATCCAGCTTTTAGAATTTGGGAGTTTTGAAAAGCAAAAGTATTTTCCCCTGTATCCATAGCAACTACTCTCAGACACCTTATATTTAATGTTGACAGTTAATACCATAATAGAATCCCAGATTTCTCTATCACTAACATTGCTTTTGTACACATGTAATATTACTACGTTTTTATAACAACAGATAGCAGTAAGCACATATTAACCCATGACTGCCAGGATCCCGTAATTTCACTGTCACTAGTAAATTCCGACCCACTAGTCAACACACACACTCTTAATGTTATGCAATTACCGAATGATTTCAGTGTGTTTTGAATAAATTACATACAGAGAGAGTTTCCACAAAGCCTGTCTTTCTTCACTGGAGTTAAGAGCTGTAAACAGGCAGGGGAGGAGCAGGCCTTCAACAACAGTCCTTTATTGGGACAGCAAAGTACTCTGGCTTGTTCCATTATGTTGTATGCTGCCACATTTCTTAAATTATCTGATGCAGTTTGTAATGAATGGGCTCAGAGAGAGTGGTAAGGACAAGTCATGCAAATATAGAATCCTACTTTTATTAAAGTTTGTTCTGTATCAGATTTTACCAACATGTCTACACATACATTGACTTGCAAAATTGGTTATAGCTACCTGTAAGTTGTGAGTTTACCAAAGGAGCAAGCCTGGGAGAAAGAAACAAAAACTAGCTTCAGTTCCCCTACAAGTTCCATTCTAATGAGGCTTTTATACCTTATAGGAATACTGCTAAATCTGTTTTGTATACAGAAATGTTCTAACTGGCCTCTATGTTTTCTTGAGCAGCTTTGAAAGTCTACCTTCAGTATTTTTCCATTCCACCTTGAATCTTATAATTCAGTGTGATTTCTCCCCAGTATATCTTATCAGGTGGCCTTGCTGTTCTCCAGAGGGCTGGCATCTAAATGGTTGTCTCTGGGAGAGAAAAGCCTCCCAGTATAATCAGTTGCACAAAAAATTGTTCTTTGATAATAGTTGCTCCCACACTGTTTCACACACAGAAATAATTTTCTAGCTCATTGTCAGTAGTGATCACTGTTATAATTACTATTTTTTCCTTGGTCCCTCACAGTATTTGCTCTTACTTACAGAAATAGATGATGAATTCATCAAAAACTTAAAAATATTGATTCCTTGGCTACTTAGTCCTGAAAACCTTGATATCAAAGAAATCAATGGGAATAAAATCACCTGCCGTGGTCTGGTGGAGTACTTCAAGGTATCACTCATTTCTAGAGTGCTGTGTGTACTTGGATTGGACATATATTGAGTCTGCTGCCCACAAACAAAAGCATACACTCTAACCTGGGAAAGGATTTTAAATCCGAAAGATGCTTGCTTCTGCATTTATTTTCCTTTGAGGAAACTCCTTACAGATAATTTTACTGTCCCCTTTTATCTTGAAAGAAATGTACTTTGAAGTCTTTGTATTTTGTCTTGTTTTGTTGGGGGAGTGTTGTCCAGGGCACATGACTGCTACCGATCTCTACTTTCATTCTGAAGATTTTCCTCAAAGGGACTGTGCCTTATTGTGGAAGAAAATTCTTCCACATTTCCTGTGCTCTGTGCTGAGAGCCAATTTGAAGTGGAATTATTTTAAATTTGCATTTACCAGTTTACCTCAGTTATCACTGAATACTTCTTACCAACGCATATATTTAGTGAAGAATTTCAGTCTGATTTGTGGATTGTTGCACCAAGATAACAATTTTTAAAATTCATGTTTTAGCTGGCCTTGGTGGTGCATGCCTATAATCCTAGAACTCGGGAGGCAGGAAGATTGTTGTGAGTTCAAGGCTGGCCTAGGCTACAAAGCGAGTTCAAGGCCAGCTCTCAAAACAAACAAAATAAAAATAAAATAACACCAAAATTCATATTTTATCATTTAAAATGCTATCATATACCTCTCTTTGTGATTAACTTACCTTCACACTCTCCACAATAAATGATATTATTTATCTAAAATTTTAACTTTTACTGCAACACTGTGAAAGAGTTTATAATTTGGTAAGAAATTCAGGACCCCTACACAAGTCTGTTCCATAAAGCTTATGATAGCAGGGCATAGCTTCTGGTGGGTAACTGAAAAGGGGAAGTTAATTCCAGCATGGAGGTCTGAGAAAGTTTCAAAGGAGATGAACCTTTAAGGAGAGTAGGATTGTCATGTGGGGATGTGTGAAAAGAGCATTTCAGGAAAATGGAAAAACATGAACTAAAAAAAGCGAACAGTACAGTATGAGGTAATAGTTGTAAGTTCCTGAAAATAGCTTTGAAATGTCAAGACCTTCAAATATAATTTATGTAATTAGAGAAATGTTGAGTGGAATTACTTGCTAATGGGTCTTTTCTTTTTCTTAGGCTTACATAAAGATCTATCAAGGTGAAGAATTACCACATCCCAAATCCATGTTACAGGTATTTATTAATCAGGAGGCATGATGCTTTCAAACATGCTTGTCACTAACGTTAAACTTTTCTACTTGTGTTCACACACATGCCGATCCATCATAAATAACTAAAAAATACTGGATAAAATGATTTATTGTAAAATTATTCCCTAAATAATTAATTCCCCAGGCAAACAGGAAAAATGTTCTTAGCTATTCATATTCTCATTTCAGAAATACATGAAAGTTGCCCAGATCATGTCCATCCAGTGTGCTTTACCTGCTCTCCCCACCCCTCCTTCCTCCACCATCATTCCTAGTCCCTAGAAGTCTCTCTTCATCCTTCTCTGTCCCCTCTCCCCTTCCCTGTCTCTAGTGAACACTATTCCATTTTGTACTTCTACAAGACTGATTTACTGGTTTCCATGAATGCATGAGAACAAGTGGTATTTTCCTTTTGGTGTCTGGCATGTTCCACTCAACATAATGATCTCCAGTTCCATCCATGTTGCTGCAAATGACAGGATTTCATATTATTTTAAATATGACTCGGTCGTATCCCATTGTGTTGGCATCTGGGTTGATTCCATATTTTGGCTGCTGTAAGTACTGCTGCAGTAAATATGAGAGTGCAGGTATCTTTTTGGCATAAAGATTTCATCTCCTTTGGGGATGTACCCTGTAGCAGAGCGGCTAGATCATATGGGAGTTCTTAGTGTTTTGAGGAATCGCCATAGTGTCTTCTGTAATGGCTGTAACTTACTCACATTCCCACCAACAGTGTATAAAAGAGCACTCTCACATACACATATTATATTGAGATACACACTTTTTTTGTGTTTTGCAGTGCTGGGGATTGAATGACATACAAACACTGTACCACATGGTTTTTATTCTCTTTGTACTAAATTTGTTTTAAAAACACACTGTGATTCATGTTCACTCGTGTAAGAAGAAATAAATAAGCAAGCTCAAGTTTTAAGCAAGTATGCAGTCTTCACAATTAAATATTAAAAAGGAAAAACTAGTTTTCCTTACAGAATTAAAAAATTTTAGTTCTTACGGTTCCATTTTGCTATCAGCGATTTACAGTATTTCCCATGCATTTGGGTTGAGAGACCTCCCCACCCTGTTCCACCCACCACACTGGATGAGAAACTAAAAGTATTTGAGAGAAAAAAATCTTCTAAATAAAAATTCATTTTAGAATTATAATTTATTGAGTAAAAATCTATGTTTTATGCATCTTTACATTTTAATTTTACTAATTTTTAAATGTAGTGGAAATATTTCAGGTTTCAAGTTATTTGGTGACTTTTGGTTTCTTGCACATGGCGCTCTGAAATATGAGCTGCCGAGGGAACGTTAATGAATATGAACCCCGTTTTACATTGTAATTTATACTTTGTCCAAAGGCTACAGCAGAAGCTAACAATTTAGCAGCCGTTGCAACTGCCAAGGACACATATAATAAAAAGATGGAAGAGGTAAGAATTAAATATTTTAAATGTTGTTTTCAATAAAGCCAGTTCATTGAATTCATTCCTTCCCCACACACACCACAGTGTACTCATGCAGAGAGGTTACTTTGACTTTTCTTGCAACCTATATGTATATTTTTTGTATTCCTAAAATATTTTTAAAATAAGAACATTTTATAATACATCCCCATCCATTTTGTTTTGGCCAGACCCTCGCACTGTTTCCTGCAGTGCTGCTCTCCCCACTGTGCCTGCCCCCTTCCGTTCTACCATGGCAGTATTTCTTGTAAAGATAAAGCCTTCTAGGAAAAAAAAAGAAGTCAAACGTTAGAGCTAATATTTCTATATACTGTATTTCCTCATATTTATTTTTAGCTAATGTGATAGTTTTTATTTTTCCCTAAAATCAAAATTACATCCAAAATTGATGGAGTCTTAGCACCAAGGGAGATGTAGGACTACATAGAATGGCATTTATGACAGAAGTAGAGCACAGTCAGAAAGGAAGTATCCTCAATGTAATTAAATCTCAAAGAACCAAAGTGGATGGCATGGCTAACTGAAATTTACCTTGTAACTTTTCAAATAATTGAAAATATGTGGTTCAAAAACATTTAATTTGCTCCTACTTAGTCCCTGGAAGAAAACATTCAATGGGCTCCATTTAAGTTAAGTCAAGTCAGTGAAACTGCCAAAGAAAATTTTCTGTTTCACAATTTTGAGAGCGTTGTGGCACTGATTATTCTTTTACTGTTCATTGGTGAAAATTACTTCAGTGTAGTTAGATTTCCTGGAGGAACTGGGATAGAAGCAATTTTTTTGGCTCAGGATTCATTCTGTGAATGAGCTCAATTTGCACACCATATTAGGTTGTGCCTTTTCATCTTGAGGGACTGGGATTAAGTCATAGATACTATTTCCTATATGAAAAAGATTAAAAATTAATAATGACTTTATTATATAAGCCACTTGTACAATACCAGCTACACTTAACAGTTACACCTCACAGATATTGGGGTGGAAAAATGTGGGTTGACAAACATATGCAGGCTCCCGCTTATTATGTGTTAACAACAGGAAAATGTTCTAGGAAATCTGTCATTGGGAAATTTGGTCACAGAGGAGGCATCATAGCATACTGACACAAACCTGAATGTTACAGGCCACTCAGCTTGGTCTCTTGATAAATCCAGAGCTGAGGTAAACAAGATGGATGTGGCTGCTAGCAACAGCACAGCACATGGCTTCACAGTAAACTTTTTTATAAGTAGAAAGATACTGTAATGATAAGTACAGTAAATAAGTTATTATAAGCACTGCTACACTGTACATAATTGTGCTATATGTGTGCATATATATGTATGGTGGTGATGGTGATACTGGGGATCGAACTCAGGGCACTCTACCACTGACCTGCATCTCCAGCCCTTTAGCCCTTTATTTTTGTTTTTTTAAATCTTGAGAGGGTCTCAATAAGTTGCCCAGGTGAGACTGAAACCTGTGATTCCCCTGCCTCAGCCTCCTCACGTGCTGGGATTACAGGGCATGTGTACTGTGCCCAGCTGTGCTATGTATAGTACTTATAAGTGACTGGCAGTGCAGGTGTACACCGAATCACCATAGTGGTAATGGGTTGGACTACACTCTGATAGCTACAGAGTCACACTAGGTGATAGAAAACCAGTCCCCATAGACTCAAACATCCTCATGCATTAATGTATTAATGTGTTTTGAGAAACTCAACTAGGTAAATAAAACATTTTGATAGTTGTTAATTTACTCTACATTGCAAAAACAAATACTTGTCTATCTGACAGATTTGTGGAGGTGACAAACCATTTCTAGCCCCTAATGACCTGCAAACCAAGCACCTGCAGCTTAAAGAAGAGTCTGTGAAGCTGTTCCGAGGGGTGAAGAAGATGGGCGGGGAAGAGTTTAGCCGGCGTTACCTGCAGCAGTTGGAAAGTGAGATAGATGAACTCTACATCCAGTATATTAAGCACAATGATAGCAAAAATATCTTCCATGCAGCTCGCACCCCAGCCACACTGTTTGTTGTCATCTTTATCACGTACGTGATTGCTGGGGTGACTGGATTCATTGGCTTGGACATCATAGCCAGTCTGTGCAATATGATAATGGGACTGACCCTCATCACCTTGTGCACCTGGGCGTACATCCGGTACTCCGGAGAATACCGAGAGCTCGGTGCGGTCATAGACCAAGTGGCCGCAGCTTTGTGGGACCAGGTAGGAACACTTGTAATTTTCTTCAGTTAAATTCAGCACACATTTGAATGTCATCTATATAACAGGCATTGCATCAGATGTTGAAAAGCATACAGATAAACAGGACTTGGGTCCATCTTCAAAACTACAACCTTTGCAAGATGGTGTTATGGCACATACCTGTAATCTCTGCACTTGGGAGGCTGAGGCAGGAGGACTGCCATGAGGCCTGCCTGGGCTACATAGTGAGCTCAAGGCCAATCTGAACTACATAGCAAGACCCTGTCTCAAAAAAAAGAAATATATATAGAGTCTGGCATCATGACAGGATAGAATATGTAAAGTCCTACACCAGTTTTCCAGTTCATATTTCAGTGTTTTAAAAAATACATAGATGAAGCAGTGTTTTTACTTTTTTCTTCAAATGTGCTAAAGCTGCTAAAATTATGAGAAAAGTTTTTATTTAGCTGATTGTGTTAAGACCCATCAGTCTACCAATTTGACTAGCACTGACTTTGTTAGGAACATATGTAAACCACTATCGTAAGTTATTGTGCCACTCCTTTTTAGTATAAACTCCTGAAAGCAGTATTAACTTACTTCAGACTGCATTTGAGCTGGACTTTCTGCCCAAGCTGCAGAATAAGCCAGCAGTCAGCCTCGGGTTTAAATGCTCAGGGTCAGCTGTCCTTTCTGGTCCAATCAGCCATTCCAGAGGGAGTTGGGACCACCATAGTACACTAAGTAACTGATTAGGGACAGGAAAGACAGTTATAAATACACCCAGAACAATGATCGACTCACTGTGTCCTTCTGGAAGTGTCTTCAGCTCATGAAAATTTAGAGAAATTTTATGAAGTAAAAGTTGAGATTCTCCATAAAATGTTGGATTTAAGACTTCTGAATGTAAGTTGTCTGTAGGTAGCAGGGAATAGGCACAATTCTCCCAGCTTTCTGAACATCCCTGTGTATACTACACAATAGAGTTGAAACTGATGGCTTTATGCCTTTAAATCTAGTTGAGGTAAACTAATGAGAAAAACTGGAACCTCTAACCCATCACTGTCTGAAACACTCCCTCACCCACAAAGCTGAAGATGGGCTACTGAGATAAACCTCAAAACTCTCCCAGACTGATGCTGAAATCTATCAGAAATACAGATTTTATTTGTAAAAAGATTTTGATAAAATATATACTCTAAACTGAAAAATCTGCAGGAGTATTTGTTATTAAATGCTCACAAATCAATATTATAAAGTTGAATATCCTACTGCTATTAATAAAGCCCAATATATACTTTTCTTTTCTCCTTTTTAAACTGCCTTTGCCACAGGGAAGTACAAATGAGGTAAGTTAAACTTTTTTTAAATTAAGAGCTGTGTATTAACATTGCGGTATTTTTATTTTGAGTGGGCATTAAAAGATATCAATGTACTGTAGATTAGTCTTAATTACTACTCTTATGTCTTAAGTTTTTAATTATGAATTTTTAACATATCCCAAACATATATAATTTGATTTGCACACAAAAAAAGAACTGATCATGAAAGAGTATTTGTTGCCTGAATGTGTAGAAAATTTCGAAGTTCTTAAGCTGCCCAGTAAAGCAAACAGTAACCTATAGTTTGTAATTTTTTTTTGGTACCGGGGATTGAACTCAGGACCTTGTGTTTGCAAGGCAGGCGGTGGCACCACTGAGCTAAATCCCTGGCCCTATAGTTTTTGTGGGGTTTTGTTTTTTTGGTACTGGGGATTGATCTCGGGTCCTTGCGCTTGTGTAGCAGGCGTCGAAACCACTGAGCTAAATCCCCGGCCCTATAGTTTTTAAGTTTGGCTCTAAGCAACTTTACCCACAGCACTAAGGTTCCCTGCGGCCACCATCTATCCAGCCATACCTCAGCACTGGCCCCCAAACCAGTGTTTGGTTCTCCTGTGCTGCTACAAATGCAGAACTGTACATGTGAGGAAAGGATCTGAGCTTTCAGGAAGCAAGCAGTTTTTACACTAGGAAAAATGATCTCTGCGGAATCATGTAGGTTATTACCTTCAGAGAAGCAAATCTGATTTTAAGCAACTACAGAAATAGCATGTAATTCTTTTCTTGGTTTCTGCTGTACCATGTAACTGGATTAACATCCTCCAACCAAACACCAATCATACATGTAACATTTACAAGTCAATAAGAAATTATTTTATGTAAAAATCCACTAAAAAGGCAAAAACAAATTTTGACTTTGTTAAAAGAAAATAGCTACACAGACTTACAAATAGAAAAGATAGTATTTCTTGGGAATAGATTACTGCTTAAAGGATATGAAGCTTTTACCCATCTCTTAAAAATACTCAAGAACTTTTTAGACTCTAGAACTAAATCAGGTTAGTAAGAACTGAGTGCTCAGTATGTGCAAGTCAAAGAGATGACTCACACACTAGTTGAGTCGGGTGGGGGACAGATATTCACGGGCACTTAAATAAAACAATACACAATTTGTTAAAATTCCTAGGATTCCAACAGTGTTACAAAAATACAAAGAACAATCAGAGGTAGTTTCAATGAGGAAAAGCTTTCTGAGGTGGTGTTTCTGAGTAAGGCTTTGTAAGACACAAACCAAGTAGCTGAAGGGAGGGATACAAGCTTGGGAGGGACAGGAGGGGGCAGCATGTGTGCTTAGCTGCTGGACCATATCCAGAAAGAACAGCATAAAACCAGTCCCATCCTGGAGAACACACTGGCAGTCAGAAGGCACTTTTACAACTTATCTGAAACTGATAATACTCACAATATGAGTGGTCCACACAGCCCTGAGGTGTGGCAGTTGGGAAGCTATGCTCCAGCAAGTATATAAGGTAGAGGGAAATGCAGTCTGAGAACAAAACATTTACCATGAAGATCATTCCAAAAGAGATAACACATGCTGAGAAGTCAGAAATAAATAATGTATGTCTTATATAGAGTGATAAGAGATTCCAAATTCAGCATGCTAAATTTTATAGTTTCATAAAGTAGGAAAAGTTTTATATGTTTGATAAAATGTTTTAGAATCCCAATTCTTGTATTCTAGGCTTTATACAAGCTTTACAGTGCAGCAGCAACCCACAGACATCTGTATCATCAAGCTTTTCCTGCACCAAAGTCAGAAGCTACTGAACAATCAGAAAAGAAGAAAATTTAATCCAAATTTTAAAAATACAAGTGCATGACCAGCTGTCAGTTAAACACTGTTTTTTGTTTCCATGCAAACATTCAAAGTGCTTCCATGAGAACAGAATAAAATACCAAACACCTCTGGAGACTGCATAAAGGTTGTTCCTTTACTCGTGTTTAATAAGCAGATGTATGTATGCTTGGTTTTATCATTTTGTTAACATGTAGTTTCCTGATTTTTGTCTTTAAATATGCTGTTATAATTTAAGGTATTTGTGTATTTATTATGAGAGTACATGTGTTCTGCTTGAATTTATTAAATTCTACCTGGTTATAATTAAACCATGTAGTGATATTACCCTATGTTTGGAGATGCTCATTTAATTTCTACAGAAAAATTTTTTTAATGATTTCACATAATTGTTAAAGCACAGCATCATGATTCAGCAGGCTTGATTTAACCTATATAATCTTACACTTACCATGAGCTCCTAGTTATTTTAAAATACATTTAATACATTTAAGAGCTTTTCTGTTGCTGTACCAGTAACTATATATGCTTCTTTTATATGATTTAATATAGAATATAAACCTCTTGATCAAAAATGCACAAAAAAAATCACTTTGTATATGTATTTGAGTTTCACTGCATTGTATATTTTTTTATTTGGTACACAAGAAATGTATTCTTCATAGGTTTATTCTTTTAACATGTGAACTATTAAAGTTTACTCTGGCTCTTAACATTCAAACAAATGCTTATTGAATTTGGAAATGTTTGTGAGGTACTGGTGTAGAATGATGAAAGTTTACCTCCTTTTTTATTCAAGATGCATTATTTTCTGATGACACTGAAAATTTCAGTTTTCATTTTAAGAAACATATGCTAATCTTTTTAGGTACCTTCCTGTTTTCTTAAACCAATGAGTGGTTCTATAATGTTTTGTTGGGTTTTTTGGGGGGTTTTTTGTTTGTTTTTTTTTGGTACCAGGGATCAAACTTGGGACCTTGCATTTGCGAGGCAGTAGAACCACTGAGCTAAATCCCTGGCCCTCTATAATGTATTTTTAATAACTAAAATCTCTAGTGCAGTTTCATTAAGCAGAGTCCTTACAGAAAAAAAAGTGGAGGCAGGGTTGGTAATGACAGAAGTAATGGTTATCTGGGAGATGCAAAATGGCAATTTCTGTTTTAGAAATGGCTAAGTAACAGGCAAGAATTCCACTAGCCATTCTTTAATTTTTCAATGCCCTTACATTATATTGCTTCCTTGGCCTATATGGGCCTTCTGAACAGAAAAATCAAGCATGCTACATGTAAAATATAGACTCAAACACCACACATTTAGTTTCCACAAAAATATATTTAATAAAGTTGTTATAAAATCAAACAACATTTTATCAGTAATTCAAACCCACTTATGTCTAACTGGGAGTGCTTTATACTTTGGAAGACTACAAAAACTTAAAACATATTTACATGTATTTACAACTCAGGTAAATATATAACTGAAAAGCTATGAAATTCACAGAATTTTAGAGACCTACAGGCTGGAAGTATCATATATTTGTCTGTAATCAAATATACTATTCTAATGATGAACAACATTTCAATATAAACCAAAGGGAAGAAACTGGGAAGGGAATAATATGGTTTAAAAAGCTTTGTTGCAGAAACACTTAGAAGATAAAAAAGTAATACAAAACTGATTTAATGGCTAAGATTTCCCATGGAATCCCTGATTGTCACATCTGGCAGCTGAGCCCAGTCTGTGAGAAGGCGGTGTGCGGTGCTGCTGGGCACCGGCGCTGTCCCCTCTCTGCAGCCGAGACAACACAGCCAGCCCTGGCTAAGAGCTGCACCCAGCCTTCTGTTGAAATTCATTCCTGAAAGATTATCTCAACATGCTGCAAAAGGGTCCCTTACACTTGGCAGGGAAGAGGGGTCACAACATACATCATATACAGAAATTTATCACAATGAAGGTTCCAAATCCTATTCTGTATTTTGCACTAGGCCATGATAACATGCAAACCATCCCACTCCAGATAACATTCCACATTAAGGCAGTAAACATCTTTTAAAAAATACTGCATAGATTTTTTTTTTTTTAAAGAAAGGTACTGCTGCTGTAAGAAGTTACCAAGTTGCCTGCCTCACAAGCGCAAGGACCCGAGTTCAATCCCCGGTACAAAAAAAGAAGTTACCAAGTGATCATTCCTATCTAGTATATGGTTATGTCATTTTCTTGCCACATTTTTATCCATCAAGAATATTCAAAGCAGTTTCTTAATACACAGCATTTGGATGTATATACCATGTTGGCTCTTAGAATGATAAACTCATTTTTATTTTGTAATAAAAGAAAACTTCTAGTGGCAAAATACATGTAAAATTAGAATTTTATAATTCCCAAAAAGTAAGCTGCCTTTGTTAACAAAGGTATTTGCACGTTTTGAGCCTGTGAAAATATTTTAAAGCTCTTATAAACTTAAAATTTCTTTTGAAAAGTTAATTTAAAAATTTTTGCCATGTTGCTGGGCATACCACTGCTGTCTCTGCTTGCGATTTTCCAACTCAGTGAGAAGAGCCTGTCTGTAGGCTTCATACATTTTAACAATTTGTTCCAGTTCCTTCATGAAGAGCAACTTTAGCATTCCCTGGTAGGTATCCAGGTCAGCCAACTGAAAGAGTTCCCACTTCAGAATGTGGTCATATCTGTTTTAAAACATAACGTTCACAACACATACATAAGCATGTATTTATAGCAAAAAGCTAGTGTATTTTTACAAATACTAACTTTATTATAATTAAACAAACCATAAGCTTAAAGATAACTGAATTATTAATTTGATATGTGAGGGGTTTTTTTGAGCTGGGGTCCTGCCCAGGCCAACCCCAAACTCCCGGGGCTCAAGTGATCCTCCTGTTCGGCTCCAGATAGCAGGGACAACAGATGCATGCTACCATGCCTGACTACATACACCATTTTTAAGGAAAACTGTTATATTACTTTAAATTAAAGAATGTCCATTTCTATTACGTATCAGTTATCCTACTACTAATACTCAACAACTATGAACACAAATGCCGAACTATAGTGGAACTACAGCGGTCCTATAATTTGTGAAGAACTTAAGACTACTTTAAACCACACTGTGCTTGCAAATGATAATGCATAAAAATGGCCAGTCATCTGTGTCACTGGTAGCAAACAAGGAACCAAAGAGGAGGAAGAGGAATGTGGAAGGAATCATTAGTCCAGGCCAAGTATTCCAGAGGATGAGTAACCTTGTATAAAAAAAAAAAAATCTCAAGAAAAAAGGGAATAAAGTTCACAATAAAAGAATAGCCTGTAGATGACTCCACAGTATTGGCAAAGGACTCATATAAGAATAATTTACAGACTGGAGATTTAGCTCAGTGGTGCTGCACCTGCATCGCAAGTGCAAGGTCCTGAGTTTAATCCCTGGTTCCCCCCCCGCAAAAAAACCAAAAAAGAATAATTTAACGTAAGTCCTGGAAAGCCTTTAGTTCTCCTTCAATGGTATGTATGTCATATGTTGAGCTCGAACTATGCAACCACCTACTATAGTAATTTATTCTTTGAAAAGGATCAGGAGACAGCACTCTAATTCAATTTTCTCACTTTAAAGATTAAAAAAACTGACATCTAAAGAGGCTATTTATCTCCTGCAAGTGTTTACTGACGAAAAAGTCAAAAAGGAAGAGAACTGTGGACCAAGAAACTGTTAAGAATATGAATGTTAATATTCATTAAGATGAGACAAAGAACTTGAACTATACTAAGTTGTATACCTATGTAATATTGATGTTATCTCTCAAATCACTGCAGAGCAGACATAATAGCTTTGTTTGCGAATTCTAATAAGTTTGCTTTTAAAAATCATTTATTACTACGTCCTACCCAATGGCTCTCTGGTAAGTTATTAACCGTTTTATTTTAAACGGATCGTCTATCTAATATAAAAAATGTAACCCTTTATAAAAGGGGAAAAAATACATACTGAGCAGTTAGCGTGTGCCACATCCTTGGACTCTGGAATCATCTTCTGTCCAACTGGAGTATTTATACCAGGAATATTAGGAGCACAAGATGCAAAACCACAAGGTAAACATATTCCATTGGTCTCTCTCTCTCTCTTTTTTGGTACCGGGGATCAAACTCGGGTCCTTGCAAGGCAGGCGGTGGAACCACTGAGCTAAATCCCTGGCCCGGTCTGTCTTTTTCATTCAACTGCTTGAAAGCTGCAAATTTACTAATAGGCACTGACTTCTTTGTAGAAAGGTTTATGTTCTCTCATGGGAAACTACAGCTACTTGTTTATATTTTTTATTATTATTATTATTATGGTTTTTTGAGACAGGGTCTCGCTGTGTAGTTCAGGCTGGTCTTGAAGTCACTAGGTACCACAGGCTGACCTCAAACTCACAGCGATCTTCCTGCCTCAGCCTTCCAAGTGCTGACAATGCAGGCGTACCCTACCATGCTGGGCTGGGAAACTACAAGTAATCCTGAACAGAAATTGGAAAAATACTTAATGAGCCTGCATGAAGAAACAGTTACATATTAGGTTATTTCCTAGAACTTCTGACATTCATGAAGCTTAAAATTTTGATATAAATTTGTAATTCCTAATCTCACAGTGCCCTGCTTTCTTTCATTCATGTACCAGCACTTGCCTAGGTCCTTATTTTTATCACAAGTAATGCCTCACTTTACAAATTAATCTCCTATAAGAATGCAAGTTTCTTACTGTATTGCTAAAAGCAAAGGTCTGCATCCAAAGAAATGAAAGGTCAATGCTTGAAGAACCAGGATTTATAATCAAACTTTTTAAGTGCTGATATCCTTTCTTCAATACAATATTACTTAGAAGCCCAATATTATTAAGAGAAAAACAGCATACTACTGAAGTTGGATTAAGCAGGAAGAGTCCCTACAAAATACCTGTCGTGTATCACTTACTTCACAGGGGCTCGAGCATAAACTTGAAGCCAGTCAGGAATTTCTGCAGTATGGTACGGATTTGCAGGTACCAGAAGGGACTGATTTCTCTCAGTCTGCTGTGGCTGGTATGTGACAGGAGGAGGCTGGTCATACCGAGGTACACTAAGAAGACAATTGGCATTCGTTACGACAAAAGCCCTAAATCTAAGCAAGAAACTATAAAAGCAGTTCCTAAGCATCCTTCCATGTGCTTCTTGTCTGAACTGACTACCTTCAACCCCTAAAAGGTAACCTTCTGTGACAAAGGCTTGGCTTTCTTTACCAGATACAAACCTAAGCTAAACTTTTATATAAAGATATTTCTTCTGGCTGATATTTAGTCAAGGACAGTTTTAACAGACGTTATAGAAAAGCTGTAACTAAGCTGTAACCTTTACACACAGGCTTAAATGTAGAATCACAAATTTCTGCAATAACTATTAATTAACTAAATTTATATTGGAAAAGTTGATAGTTTCTCTCAAAGCAAAAAAAAGATGTTTTCTTTCTCCTGTTGGCTGAAAAGGATAAGGCCTGTACAACATACAGACTCAAACAGCTATTAAAGCTTTTTATGTGAACTGAAGTTTTAATTCTACAGTTTCTGAGAGTAGTAAATCAATTAATTGTGAAAATGCTTTGCCAGATTAAAAATTCTATATTGTGAGGTTAATGATGAAAAACAGAAAAGTAAACTAATCTTGTTATTTGGAGCACAAAGATCTGCCACCTGGTGACAGAAGGAAAAACCACAGGTTCGGTTCTTGTGAAAGGAAGACGTCAATAACCACTGACTGAGTGCCATTAAATGAAATCACTGGAAAAATGGATTTTCAAAGCAGAATCAATAAATATGTAAAATAATTAAAGCAACACAATGCTAAAGTTTATTCTTTCAGATAATGATACTAAATATATTCTCATGAGTTTTTGTTGTTGTTTGTTTTTGTTTTGCTCTGCAGTACAGGGTATTGAATCCAGGGCCTTGTACATGCAAAGCAAGGACTCTACCACTGAACCATAGCTCCAGCCCCATAATAATTTTAATGATTCTAAAAAATTAAAAATATCTACTATAGGGAGCCGGGGATTTAGCTCAGTGGTTCCACCGCCTGCCTTGCAAGCGCAAAGACCCAAGTTCGATCCCTGATACCAAAAAAAAAAATATCTACTATAACCAAAAATCTTTTTTATGCCAGCGAAGTTAGGCAACATATACCAACAAGCTAAAGACATTTTACTCATTTTTAAATCTTATGGCTCAGTTCTTGAAGCTCAAATACAGTTAATATGAAATATTTGCCAATTCATTAGTAAGCTATCTACTTCATATGTACTTTGGAATCCAGCTTTACTTTACATTTACAACACATCTCAATTCTGATTAATTACAAGTGTTCAATAGCGACGTGACAACTGGCTGTAGTATTAGTACAGGGTTAAATTCTGGCAATAAACCAGATCTGCTGGTTAGCCCAGTATCGATAGAAATTGTCCAAAGGATCGCTGGCTATATTTATTACATGCGAGATGTTTTGTCCAGTCCCAATTTCACTTTCTTATCTGGGAACAGTAAGAAACAGAACATAAAATGAATCTGCAATTGAATAAAAAAATCAAGATTTTCTAACTTAAAAGTATCTTCTGACGTATTAGGAAGTAGATTTGACATATATAGTAACTTAAATATGAAGAGACATGTTTTACTATTTATTTTAATTTGTTGGCATCCACAACAAAAATACAGGCATATTAAAGTGGAATCTGATCACAAGAACACTGGCCCTATTTTTAAAGCTAAAGAAAAAGAAACAATAAGTATTTTAAAAATTACTAAAGTCAGGGCCAGGAATTTAGCTCAGTGGTTCCGCCGCCTGCCTCGCATGCGCAAGGACCTGAGTTCAACCCTTGGTACCAAAAATAAAAAATTACTGAAGTCATTCATTACTAAAAATAAACCCAGAGAAAAATATCATAAGTTCAAAATTTAAGGATTTAAAATCTCAAGTTTCAGGATATCTTTTCCTCTGATGAAAATCAGTCCAAACTCTAACACCAGACATTTTCAAAAATGAAAATAAAGTCAATACCTAGGAGCACAGGGATGCCTGTACTGAGCCTTTTTATTTGTGTGATCTACATAATAGGTTCCAAACTCTGAAGATTCAACTCGTTCCCATCCAGGAGGAAGTCCTTCTCGTTCAAGAGGATGGCTCCAGTGAGTTGTGTTTGTGTTATGATCGATATAATATTTTCTCCCTCTCATTGTCCAATCCACAGACCAGCCAGGAGGAAGGGGCAAGTCTTCCGATCCGTGGTTAGTTAAATTTCCTAAAGATGTAGCAGCAACTCTCCCAATACCTGACAGGACAAAGCAAATGAGAGAAGAAAAAGAACAGTTATCTCTTCTGTTAAAAATGATTATGTCATTGTAAAGTTTTTCATAAAATTATCCACATTATTTGATTACAAGGAGGGAGGAATTAGACTTTGAAATTAGTGTGGGTTTTTTTTGGTTTGTTTGAGGCTTCCATCACCAAGCCATACAACCATTTAACTACTAGTGAAGCTACTTATGTGCACTGCTAAAGGGAAAGGGAGGAAAGGAAAATCTCACCTCATTCAAGATTTAAGATTTGACATTTCATCTAAAAAAAAAAAAAAAAAAGCAGGTCCAGGGGGTTTAGCTCAGTGGTTTTGCTGCCTGCTGCGCAAGCGCAAGGACTTGAGTTCAATCCCCGGTACCAAAAAAGCAAAACAAAACAAACAAAAAAACCAAAAATGAACTTGTAAAACCATTCCTACTTTATAATTTCTTAAAAAATAATCAAGCTGGGCCCTAGAGTTGGTAAGTAAGCTTATCAAAGTAGTAGGTTATAAATTCAGCATAGAACAATCAATTAAATAGCACTAACAATCAACAACTGAAAAAAATTACTGAAATGTACCATTTATAAGGATGCTAAAAATCAAATATTTACACATAAATCTAACAAAAGGATCTATATGCTGCAAACTATAAAACTGCTAAAAGAAATGAAAGGAGACCAACCATGTTAATGGACTGGAAAACTCAACATAGTAAAGATGTCTATTCTCAACTCACCTTTATGTTTAAGGTAATTCCAATCAGTATTAACAGCAGCTTTTGGACAGGTAAATAACAAGCAGACTTTTAAAGTGTACACTAACAGACAAAAGAACGAGTAGCCAAAATAATTTATTAAAAAAAAGTAAATTTGGTTTTCGGATTTCCTATAAAGCTATAGTAATCAAGACAGAGTGGTACTGACAAAAGAACAGACAAATAACAGATCAATCCCACAAAACAAAGAACCTAGAAAAACACACACATACAAGATCAACTGATTTTTTTTTTCGGTACTGGGAACTCAACTCAGGGTCCTGTGCTTGACAGGAAGGCCCTGCATCACTGAGCTACATCCCTGACTCAAGATCAAGTGGTTTTTGACAAAAGTGAAAAGGCAATTTAGTGGAGAAAGGACAGTGTTTTCAACAAATGATGTTGGGACAATTAAGCATCCATATGCAAAACAAAAGAAAAAAACTTGAATCACAGCCTATACATCATGTACACAAATTCAAAATGGATCATATAACTAAGACTTTCAGAAGATAAAACAGGATAAATTTTTATGGTCTTAGGTTAGGCAATGAGTTCTTAACCACAATGACAGAGGTTGAATCCATAAAGAAAAATACTGACAATTTGGGCTTCATCGAGATTAAAATTGGCCAAGCATGGTTGCTGCAGGCCTGTAATCCAGGCACTCAGGAAGACTGAGGCAGAAGGATCCCAAGTCTGAGCTCATTTTGGGCAACTCAGCACTTTAGTAAGACCCTGTTTCAAAAAATTTAAAGACAGCTGGGGATGTAGCTCAGTGCAAAAAAAGCCCTAGGTTCAAGCCTAGTAATATCAATCAATGAAAAAATGTTTTATGAAGAACACCCAACACTGTTAAGAAAAAGAAAATCAAGCTATAAACTCAGAGACAAATTTGCAAATCATACATTAGGCAAAGGACTTAAGACCAAAGAACTCTCAAAACTCAACATGAAGAAAAGTTAATTAAAAAAAAAATGGGCAAGAAATTTTAAAAGGCATTTCACCAAAGATGATGTATAGGTGGTAAATGAGCACATGAAAAATGTTTAATGTCATACCAGCCATCACAGAATGCAAATTAAAACCACAATGCGATGACCACATAACCCATGGACTGTCCAACAAAACCTGATGATACAAGTTCTGATGCAAAGCAACTGGAACTCTCTTAAACTGCTAGTAGGAATGCAAAATCCTACAATCACTCTAGAAAACAGCTTAGCAGTTCTGCATGGTTAAACTTTTAAAGTTAAAGTCTGTCACATATACAACAATCCTTAGCTATTTACCACAGAGAAATGAAAAATCTATCTTCACACAAAAAGCTGTATGTGGATGTTTACTGTATATTCATAATTGCACTACAGTACAATAACCTATACACATCTTTAAACAGAATGGATAAACTATAGTAGGTACATATAGAGGCATCTACTTAGAAATAAAAAGGAATGATTTTTATAAGCAACACTATGGATGAATCTGAAAGACATTATGAAAGAAGCTAGTTTCAAGTGGCTATAAATTATATAATTATATTTATATGAAATTCTTGCAAAGGTAAAACTATGTACTTGGAACTGGAGGTAAAGACAGAGGTTATTACAAAGGGGCAGCATGAGGGAATTCTGGGGGGAGATGAAAATAATGTTCATATACTGACTGCTCGCACTGCATGAATCTATACATATGGTAAAACTCAGAACTGTGTATCTTTTTCTAAAAGTTACTCTAATTTATTTTTTAAATAACAGGTGCGAGCCAGGCATGGTGGTACATACCTGTAAGCCCAGCACTCTGTGATCGTAAATTCAAGCCCAGCCTGGGCAATTAAGCGACTTACTGAGACCCTGTCTCAAAAAAAATTTTAAAGATGTGGGGATGCAGCTCACTCAGTACAAAGGTTCTGGGTAGAACACTAAAACTACAATTTTATTCTCATATAAGAATAGTAACACTCAATGGCTTAAAAGAAGCATTTAATAAGTCCATAAATCTGTAGATTAGTAACAGCTGTTCTCAGTAAGTTTTTCTATTATTTTGTATAAATTATCTTTACTGTGTCATTACTTGACAAAAGTTGTATCTCGTATGAGATAACTTTCTAAATGAGGTGGGTTTTTTTTTTGGTACTGGGGATCGAACTCGGGTCCTTGCACTTGCGCAGCAGGTGGCGAAACCACTGAGCTAAATCCCCGGCCCATCTAAATGAGGTTTTATTGTTGATCAGACCTCCATTCCTTCCCGGACCTCAGCAGCTATTTCTCTACCCCTTGTTTACTCGGATCCAGACACACCCACTTCCTTGCTGTTCTCAAATACAGCAGATAATGGCTGCTTATTCTCCCTAGAATATTTTTCCTTCAGATAGCCACCTAGCTCACTCTCTCATGCTCTTCCAGTCTTTGCTTAAATGTTGTACCAAAACTCAGTCTGACTACCCATGGCAATCTGTATCTCCCCAGGTTCCATTTACTGTTTCACCTTTTTTGTATCATTTATCTTTTACACTTATAATTTTTATCATCTTTCTCATAAGAATTCCACAATGAATGGGGCTAGGAATTTAGTTCAGTGGTTCCGCCACCTGCCTCGCAAGGGCAAGAACCCAAGTTCAATCCCCGGTACAAAAAAAAAAAGAATTCCACAAGAAAGATCCACAAATAGGAGTCCTTGTTTTATTCACAGGTATCTCTCAAGGGTCTAAATAGTGCCTATGGAATACAGTACATACTAAGTGTTGCATAAATAGGCTGTTGTAATGAGTAGTAGCGTGGTATTTGTGCAGAAAAAAGTGCATAGATTAGTGAAGGGCTGGGGATTTAGCTCAGTGGTGCTGTGACTGCCTCACAAGCACTAGGTCCTGAGTTTGATCCCCAGTACCAGAAAAAAAAAAAAGATGCATAGATTAGTGAATAGAAAACTTAGTAGACCCACAGAAAGATGCCACCTGTTACAGATATAACAAATCAACCCCACCTACCTCACTCAAACTAGAAACCATCTAATGATCCAACATCAGAAAATGATACAAAATTGAGAAGTCCAAAAAAATGGATTCCCACATGGCCCTTTTTAAAATGATTTTTCAAAGGGAAAATTCTGCATGTAAAGAAATTTAGGATACAATAAAAAAAAAGGCAATTTGCAATCCAGAATATACTAAATAACAACATACTTGTTTAAAACATTTATATAATGTTAACATATGCACATAATAATGTGGAGAACCCCTACTTACAGGTTTTTATAAAGTCTGAATTTATTATACATATGTATCATGTTTGTAATAACATTAAAAAAATCTTCATCCAATATAAAATACTTGAAACAATATAGAACTGGCAAAAGAAGTACCATATTGTAAAGGATACATGGAACTGGGTAGAGTGTGGAAATAAATGATTTTAAAATGAATAACCTGAAAGTCTACAGAAGCAAATATACCAAAAAAACTACATTAAATATTTTCCTTGATTCTTGGACTTACTTTGCTTCTCTCCCTCCTGCGTTTGGCCAGTTCTGAAATTGAGATGTTTCTTAAAATCAAGGGAAGAAATAAATTAGCCACTAGGCAGCAGCTGCAGAGATGCCATCATGGCCCATGGATGTTGAAACACAGAATGTTCAAAATAAGAGTCTGGGTTACCATTCAGGTTTAAAAGATTACCATCCATCTGTCAAACGTCTGTCAAAAGGTTCCAGCTAACTGAAGAGTTTTTAAAATTATACTTGGCCAGAAACTAAGGCAAAAGCTTAACTTTAAGGAATGGCAAAAGAAACTTTTTTATATGTTTTGAAATTATACTGACAATCCTAAATATGCTTAAAAAATATGATCTCCTGCCTGGATTAGAATAGCAGTGTGTCTGTCAATCATAATGCTATGTGTATATAAACACAAATGACAAAAAGTAACTCACAAGAAACTAAAGAAAATGCTTCAATTAACTCAGATTTTAAAGAAGGTATGTAAGTAAATACAGGTTACTGGGTAGTGATTCTAAGAAGCATGTATTCACTTAAATACAGAATGGCAAATGCATAAGGCTAGTCACTGCAGCATCATCCACAGTAAGGACAAAAGGCTGGAAAGAAACTGAATGGCTACTGTTAAGATATTGGGCTGTGTTACAGTTTGGGCCAAAAATGTCCCCCAAAAGTCTCTTGTGTTCAGAGGTGGGGATTTCAAGTCACTGGATGGTGAAGCCACTAATCTCATCAGGATCAATCA